GCAACAGTTGGCTTGAAACTCAACATTAAGAAAACTAAGATCATGGCATCCGCTCCTCTCACTTCCAGGTATATAGATGGGGAAGAAATGGAGGTAGTGACAGATTTTATTTACCTGGGCTCCAAGATCACTGCAGACGGGGACTGCAGCCAAGAAATTAAAAGACGCTTGCTCCTGGGGAGGAAAGCTGTGGCAAATCTAGACAGCATACTAAAAAGCAGAGACATCACCCTGCCAACAAAAGTGCGTATAGTCAAGGCTATGGTTTTCCCAGTTGCAATGTATGGCTGTGAAAGCTGGACCATAAGGAAGGCTGAACGCCAAAGGATTGAGGCCTTTGAATGGTGGTGCTGGAGGAGACTCCTGCGAGTCCCTTGGACCGCATGGCAATCAAACCGGTCAGTCCTAGAGGAGATCAACCCTGACTGCTCTTTAGAAGGCCAGATACTGAGGATGAAACTCAAATACTTTGGCCACCTAATGAGAAGGAAGGACTCCCTGGAGAAGAGTCCAATGCTGGGAACAATAGATGGCAAAAGAAGAAGGGGATGGCAGAGAATGAGGTGGCTGGATGGAGTCACTGAAGCAGTTGGTGTGAGCTTGGGTGGACTCCGGGGGATGGTGGAAGACAGGAAGGCCTGGAGGAGTGTTGCCCATAGAGTAGCGATGGGTCGGACACGACTTCGCGATAACAACAACAACAATGAACAACAAAGAAGTGATGACCAGGAAGGGGAGCTGACTCCCACTGCAGTGTGCAGCCAGTGGTGAATGTTTTGTTGGCTGCCTATTTGGCATTCCTTTCGTTTGCTTGTGACATGCTCAACACGGAGCTACTGGAATAACACTTGGCATGAGTGCTTAGGATGCAGTTCTGGCTTCCAGGTTTGAAAAACAGCTCAAACTCATTTTCAAAGGAAGGAAAATGAAAAGCACAAAAATTCAATACAGTATCTGCCTTGAATGTTTAGATAGTAAAATGAAAGCTGGTGTGTTTGTCTAGGACTCTTCTTGAAGTCTGAATCCCAGCTTAGTCTCTGCAGTTTTTCCTTTTTCTTCAGAACTAAGGTGGATAACATCCAGGATGTTCTATTTTACAGAGGACAGTCTTTTGTCTGAAAGGCTGTGAGAGAGCAGTCCTCTATTCAGTCATGTCTTCTGTCTCAAGGACTATCTGAGGCAAGACCAGTTTAAAGGGAAAGAATTATCAGAAGAGAGAACTTGAGGGGCTTTGAAGCTGTCTACCCTCAGCTGACAATAGAAATGAAGACTCAGCAGGCACAGGTCACCTGGTTGCAGCCTTTCCCACCGTCTTTCTGCTCAAATTACAGTACTTATTTCTAAATGTGCATGTATGCTTATAGATTAGTACTTGCAAACTATATGCAAAGCTATAGCTTTTTTAACCTCCCCTTTTTGAATGAAGTGCAAGTGACCACCTACAGATGGGATATCTGTCTTGAAGACCAGGACATTGGAATGAAGTTGGTATCCACACTTTAAAAATCACCTGGTCTGCAGTCCTGTGCACCCTTACCTTGGAATATGTCCAATTGAACTCAGTGGGACTTACTTCTACGTAGACATATATAAGATTCTACTGTACAGTACTTTCAACAAAAGGTAGATGTTTGTGTTGGCAGATGAGGGAATTACTACTCATTGTTTTTGTGCCATGTTTTAAAGGTGTTTTTGTCAACATGGGATGTTACAAACAGGTATTCACTAATCATTGTTCTGCGCTGATACTTGTTTCCTGCAAATGTATTATTTTTTTTAAATGACTATTTTAACAGACATGGCTAATCCACAAAAGTACGATGGTTTGGCTAAAATAGAGCAAGGACAACTTCCTCCAACTTGTCCTCCAGATGTTTTGGACTTTAACTTTTGGTAGCCCTGGGCATCATAGGCAGTGGTGGGAATTGTAGCCCAAATGATCTGGAGGATCTAGGCTAGACTAGACCACACTTGGTACACTGTAAATCAGGGATGGGGAAACTTTGGTTCATGTTTCATACCAGAGCTTGGAGTTTCTTGCTGACAGAAAGAAATGCATTTATCTCCAGACAGAAAAAAGTAATTTCCTCTCCTTGGCACTGAAAATTAGCAGGCTCCCTTTCTCAGTGTTTAGCAGGGGAAAATATCTTTCTGATCAGTTGATGATCAGAGATAAGAGCTTTCTCCTATGGGGCAGAAAACCACTGAGTAATGCAGTCCTGCTTCCTTCTGAGTAGTAAAGCAGAGGCTTAGCCTGCCTACTTGTGAGTAGACATGACTCTTATACTTATGAATACAACTGCTGCTTTTTACAATGCTGCTGAGAAAGTCCATTCGTTTCCATCTGCGCCTCGCCTTACAGAGGCTTGCCCTGCTCACATCTGAGCAGACATTCAGAAGCTTGGTATTTGAGGTGCTATTTTAAGATGCTGCTGATTTATTCTTTCCTGCTTATTTCTGAATCGATAGGCAGAGGCTCATCCTGCTTACTTGCCAGTAGGTGCACTATTCATGCTTATTTCTGAGTATACATGCATCAATAACAATCATGTATGTGAATTTTTTTTTCCAGATGGCCCCATCCACCACTGGAACACACTCCAATTTGTGATCTGACCCCAGCTGAAAATCCCCATGTTTGCTATAAACATATACTGATATTATGCAAGCTTGTCATGGCTTCCCACCACAGAATTCTGGGAACAGTATTTGGTGAGGGTGCTGAGAATTCTGTTATCCCACCAACCCAGCAACAAGGTTCGAAGGGAACTCTGGATAAACCCATTTATGGTCTAGAAATGCCTCAGCCCAGCCCTCCTCAGATGCATTGGATTCACCTTCCATCATCCCCAATCACCAGGGATGCTGGTGACTGAGGAGGCCAGGAGCTGCATTTCAACATCCCTGGAGGGCAGAGGGGTAGAAAGGTTGCCTTAGATGCAGAAAAGCACAGAGACCTTATTTGTTCATGAATTACCTGGCTTGCACTGGAGTGGAAGATATAAATATGGGAACTGTCCTATTGGGTTAGTCTAAGGGCCAGTTCACACATGATGATAAACTACCCTGAAAATAAACCACAGTGGGTTGTTTGTTCACTAACACAGCTTAAGCCCAGCAGATGACCAGGTGCTCTGTGGTGTGCCATCACATGTATCCCCCTTAGTCCTACAGCCTGCAGCCCGTGTCTTTTGTGGCACAGTCCTTCTCATAGCCTCCTCTTAGTGGAGGGAAGCTTCCTGACCCTCCCCTCCAACTCCAACTGCTGCCCCTTTTCTACACAATTTTTCATTTTGCAGCCGTTGGCAATTCTCATTTTCTGTAGTTAAGAGTTACAGATTTATTTACCCTTGTGATCAACAGGAAAAGGCAGATTTATGCAGCGAGTGCCTCTCATACATATTGCAGCAACGATTACACCCACCTGCTCCAGGAGCCCAGTGCCATTCAGCCACCTCTTTTGGCGTTTGGAGTCAAGGGAAGCATCAAAGTGGGAGAGGAAACTGACAAGTGTGGGTTAAGATGTACTTGAGGATGACATTGACAAGTGGGAACTTATTTGCGCTCCTCTGCCCCAGTCATGACCCCTTTTCATAGTGAATATTCCATTCTCAAGCTTTTCTTTTTGCATTTTCCGGGTGATTCTCAAGCATGCAAATAGGTTTGTAATTTCCCTGCTTCCTCAGTGCACAGATTCTTCCACCTGCTATGTACAGTTTGCAGTAGTACAGGTACTTTGTCAATTTCCTTGTAAATTATGATTCCTCTTGCCTTGACAGGGGACTCCAAAAGCTGCCAAAGGGAGCTCTGAACTGCAGCAAGCAATTTGCAAGGCGACTCTGCGACTACAGACTGCACCCCGTGCACAGCCAGCTCAGCAGAACACTTGTGCAGAACCAGGGAGGGGGAACCTATTTGTGCACTGGAGAGGCACCGAAGAAGGAGAAAAACATGCAGACACAGTCAGGCCCTTTCCAAGTGTCATTTGGGTATTGGTGGAAGGCTGGACCTCACGGAGGAGAAAGGAGGCAGACTGGAGAAAGTGCAACTGAGACTGTGAGGAATTGCGGGGCTTTTTGCTTTCTTGCCAAGGGGCTCTGCCGCCTGTGCCAAGAAGCCGCTAAAAAGTCATGCAGCGGATTTCATGCACCATGACAAATCACTCTGCGGACAAGCCTCCCTCAGTCATCCAACAAGTAGCCACAGCTTGCGTGTGGCTAAACTTTGCTGAATTATCCATACCAAAACAAGCCCCATGGACACAAACAGGGTTTACAACCCAGAGGGGCTTATCGTGATGTGTGGACCTGGGCTAAGAGTCCACCTTCCCCAACATTCTGTGTCTACGGTTGGGCAGTCACATGCCACAAGGAGGAAATTAAGGAGGTAGGAATCCTCTGGTTGCCCTCAAGCCTAACCGATTGTCATCTCTGGACATGGGAACCTGTTTTCTTGGACTGTGGGGGAGCCTGCTGTGGTCAAAGCTGGAAGCAGAAAGAGGAGACTTATCAGTGCAAAGAACATGGCATGTTTCTTGGAAAAGGTGGGGGCAAAGTTGGCATATTTGCAGCTGTTCAGCCACTTGACAACCTTGGTTTAATAGTATTATTTTATTTTAATGCTGCCCAATAGCTGAAGCTGTCTAGTATGCTAGTGAACTCTAACCAAATCAATAACAATCTTCTTGTTACCACTGAAGTTTCCTACAATTTGCTGATAAGAGATGTTTTCCAGATGGGGCCAAAGCCCCATACAGCTGTGCAATTTCCTTCAAGTTAAATCCCCCCAGTTAAATGTGAAGAAACATTCATTTCTTCAATGATACTGCCTAAATTCACACACATCTCTTAAGGATCAAGTCCTGTTAAAAGGGGGAATGCATTGCTGCAGAATTAACAATCACAAAGTTTCAGCCACTCTCTATGCCCCAAGCCTCGCACTACCTTTTCTTACTAGCTGATGCCGTGTTACATGGAAACTCAACAAACACAGAATGGTGATACTTATAACAAGGAACAGATGTATAAAGGTTAAACAAAACCACAAGACAGCATATTGGCAGCATACAGAAGTCATACAAATAATACAGAGGAAAATTACAATAGGGCTCTACCAGTACATTGGATAGTAAACAAGAGGATTTAGTACAGTAAGGGAGAAGAACATTCACCAATCACTTTTCATAGCACCAAAAGCCTATTTTATAAAATACACAATTAAACCATATGTATTCATATTTATTATTTTATACAGTGCCATTTTTGTGCATGGCTGTTTAACAGACAATCCAAATGACAAGCAGCTTCCTGCCCCCAAAGGACCCCCCCCCTTTAGCCCCGGCTTGGAAGGAATGGAATAGAGCAGAATGCATGCGGGTCAGTAGAGAGCTCCGTCCTCGCTTTCCTTGGGCCCTGCTCCTGTGAGCTCTAAATTGCCCGCACTGCCTTCCGCCGCCCTCAGTTTTCCATCTCTGGCTTATGGCAGGTGAAACGATGGACATGTGTTTCACTTCTGTTTTCCATTCCTACTTGGCTGTTTCTTTTTTATTTATAATAAAATCACTTTAATCAAATGGATATAGTTATAGATATATAGAGACAGAGCTGTGTTCTGTGTATTGGCATATAACAGATGGGCTTTCCCCACCGCCGATCCAAAGAAAAGAGAAAAGGAGAAGCCAAGAGGAATTATGATGGATTGAAATTCATGGGGTGGGAAAGTTACATTCTGGACAATGGCTGCAAAGGCTAATCAGTTCCTCTGTGTGCATGCTTCTGTTCCAGAAATACTGTTTTCTTCAGCTTTGAAAATGAACTTTAAAGTACATTTTGATGATGGCATATGATCGTGATTTAATTCTGGATCCATTTCAGATCTCAGCCACCAAGGTCGTAACTTTTGAATAATGTTATTTTTAAAGTATCCTGTGAATGTTCTTTTTTCTTTTAAAAAAACTGAATAATATGCATTTGATGGGGCATGTCACGATTGCCAAGTTTTTGTTTTTTACCACTTCATGCTTTTTTTATGGCAAATTAGTTGGCAGACATTAGCAGGCAATGACCTCATTTGTACACAACAATTCATGAGTTATTTAAACCATGGATTATTTAACCCCAGAACTGTGGGATCTATGCACAAGTGAGCTGCTATTGCTTCCTTATCATGTCTGTTTTGCATCTATTTTAGTTGTGTTGTCAAAAGCCAGCATTCTGGGTTGCTGAGAATTAACAAACCATGGGTTAAAACTCCAGGCCTTCTGAGTTTTGCAGATTAAGTTTCTGTTAAAGACATAGGAGCAGCCAAACCAGGTGTCTTTTTCTGGTCAGGCAGCAGCAACTCTAATTTCTGGAATTGGTCAAAGGTAAGCATCCAGTCCTCCCAACTATCATCACAGTGAATTAAAAGGAAAAGGACAAAAAATTAATTGCAGCAGTGGGCTAAGTCCACCGCCATGGAGGTTTCCTTCCCCTGCTCTCCCTGCAGCCCTTGGCACACAGCTTCCTGCATGAGATTTGGGAGTGGCAAGGAGAGCTGCAGAGAGAAGAGGGAAAGAGATTAACTGGTGGTTGGCCTTTGTGCTTCCAGAATGGCTTGGTTGGAAACAACCCACTCAGCCTATCTGGGCACAGTGCTGTAAAGTTTGAAGCAGTAACCCTGTGCATAGTTAAGCCTGCGTAAGTCTCATTCTCTTCCATGGGAATTACTCAGTTATCACTGTCCACAGGGTTCATGGCCCAAATGAATGAAGGCTATAACGAAGGCCACAATTCCATGCATACTAACTTTAGAGGAAGCCTCATGGAAGTCAATGGGCCATAAGTTCGAGCCAACAAGTATATGTTTGGCTAAAAATAATGATTCCAACTTATACACACGCACGCACTATCTGTCTCTCTCATACACACATGATTCTTATGTCTTAGGCATCATTAGATGCCTAGAAATCATGTATTGATATATTCTCTTAATATATCATTTTGGTTTTGGTTGCATTCACTACATATTCAAGCTTTGGCTAAATCTCCTTGAAAGACTCTCCTGTAATCTCATGACTCCTGGAGTTGGATCTGTAAGGGGGAAGAAACACTAGATAATACAAGACTCACGACAAAACAGTGAGAGTTGGAAACACTGTCAATATAATTCTAGAGAAACTCCAGTCCAGAGGAGTTAACAGCAGAGGAAAGCAGAAATGAATGACAAGACTCGAATTTGACCCAGGATTAAGATGTCAAAATCTAGGCTAGGTGAACTGTGTATTCCATGAGGACATGGCTCTGGATGGTTCATGCAGATACGATTCTGGACCTAAATCCTGCAAGCACTTATGCACACATCACTAGTGTTTTGAATAAAACAAGGGCACAGATTTACTCGTAAGTGGTATATGGGCACAAAAGTACTTGCAGAGTTCAAATGCTAGAGCTTTAAATTCTCACCTTAGTACAAAAGATGGACACAAACAAATTCAGTGCTATTGGATGGAATGCCCTCTGCAAGGCAGACAAAAAGTCTACAGAGCTATAAACGTGTATGAACCGTAACAGTCGTGATCTATTGAACGTTTATTTTTTCCCCCAGGGGAAATTAAAGATATTCCCTCCCCCCATCACAGTGTACATGATTTAAATTTGCCTGCCTATGCTTCAGGGAGAGTGCTTATGCACGCCTGGTGTTCTATAGCTTTGCTGGCCTTAGCTATAGAAATCATAAAGCACTTCTCCTCACTAATATGTACACAGGATAATTAAAGGAGACAGATGTAGTTCTCTTGGGTGCCATCATGTTCCGGTGCCAGGATATTCCTCTTCGAGAAGCAGCATCTCAGGTCTGGGGCAGGGTCTCTGTCACTTTGCTGCTGTTCCTGCTGCTGCTGCCACCGCCGTCACCTGGGGGTTCCTGGAGGAAAGGGACAGGGAGCCTTCTGTTAGTCTTTCAGCCTGTGGACTTTGGACTGGTCAGGTGATTCTACCAGAGGGACTGAATGGTCCCATCACACCTGATAGACATCAAAATGTCAGAATTACTTGCCTCCTCTACAACTAGAGTGGGGAATGCACGGTCCTTCAGATCTTTTCCTAATCAGCCCCACCACAGACAAGCATCAGGGATGATGAGCATTATAGTACCAGTTGAACAGAATAGATAATTTTCTTTTGACCAATTAAAGCCAAAAGAAAAATAAGGAATTAGGAAAGAAATGCACCTCTTGCTTAGGAGTTTGGCATTATGCCATTAAAATAATTTCTAGAATGTAGCCTGTGCTGCCCACCCACAAGCAGGGCCCCCACTGGACAATCTGACTATTGGGCAGAAATGCAATAAATGAAATGAGCATTTCCACTTGTTCCAGCTTGCCCTGGAAGCACTAAACCAAGCTGTGGTGACAGCGTGTACAAGGGAATTTCAAAATTCACAGTAATATTCAAAATGTGTTGAAGGACAGAGGAAACATGTAACACATATTTTAACTCTCAGATTACAAAGGCAATATATTAAAGTTAATGTTCTTACTTTCCAGATGTGTTTCAACCAGACAGTCTTCAGTGGCAGATTTAGACGACTTCAAATGACTAGTTCAGCACAGATTCAGAGAACCCAATATCCATCTCCCATTTTGTTTTCAGGGATTTTATTGAATTGACATCAAACAAAGCTTGCCTTACAGTTAGAATGGATACTGTGAAACACTCCTCTGTCCAGAGTTTTGCTGTTATGTGCTGTCAAGTCATCTCTCACCCATGACAACCCCATGAATGAAACCCCTCCAAAATGTCCTGTCCTTCACAGCCCTGCTCAGCTCTTGTCAATTCAAGGTTTACGGAATCAATCCATCTCATAGGTGGTCTTCCCTTTCTTCTTTGGCCTTCAACTTTCCCTAGCATGATTGCCTTCTCCTTCTCCTATCGCAGCCCCAGTTTTGTCATTTTTGCTTCTAGGAAAGTCCTGGCTTCATTTGATCTAGGATTCACTTGTTTGTTTTTCTGTCAGTTCAGGGTATTTGCAAAGCTCTCTCCTCTTTTTCAGTGCACACCTTAACATGGTGGGGATGTTTGAGAGTGTCAGAGAAGCTGAGAGCAATGCCACCAGGAGGCCAGACTGCCTCCCAAGGCAGAATGATCATAGCTGGGCCACCAGACGAAGATATATCTGCTCTCTTCAGGAATAACAGATGCATTGGCAGAGGAGAATGGATATCCCTAATGTCAATGGTAGAGGAGAGCAACTCCTGAAGGGCAGCTGCTGGGCAGTAGTGGTGGTTGAACTCAACACTGGCAGAAGATCTTTCAGAAACTATGACAGTGACGCTCAATCCAATCTGGTTAGTACTGCACAGAAGAAGGCAATTATAAACTACTTCTCAATATTCTTACCCTGAGCAGCTCCTGATGAAATAATCCAACATGAGACCTGTAGAGGCTGAATGAAAATTCATGCTTCTTTCCATGCCAGCTGAGGGGATGACAGATATCCAAGTGTGGGGCCCCAGCTACAAGGTAAGGATGATATTCTGACCTCATACCTGGGAATCTGAAAAGTCCTATGACTAAGTGCTATCTAGTCATGGGATTTCTCTGTTAACCAAATTAATTGAGGGGCTTTCCTCTTATAATGATATTTTGAATAGAGAAGTATTTCACAATATCCACTCTATGTGGTGAATTTCATTTGAAGTAAAATCACTGGGAACTCTGAAAACATTTTTGTCTTATGAATTTATACTCATAGATTAGGGTCTAGATGTCTTGGTGTAAGATTAAACTGAATCTGTCAACAGTGTTTTATTGAAGATGCAGCAAATTTAGGATGGAGGGTGACTGGAAGTTCTCTTAATAGCAATTAGAAAAATAATTGCTCAAAAGTGAAAAAGTTCTGTTATGGGGTAGGGATAATGAACAAACCACAGTAAATATATCTAGGATCAACAACGTAATACACTGAAATTCAAGGAAATCTGAGAACTATTTATAAATTCCTGAAATTCTAGTAGTTTGATATCATTGCCCATAACCCTAAGTAATCACAATGCTGAAAGAAAAAATCTCAGTAAGTTACAAATAAGAAAGAAAATAAAATTAAACATAAGTCATTAATAAAAATCATAAATCTGCCATGACCAGATTCAACCTAAATTTAGAATTCCATTTCCAATTCTATTTTTTATATGTGACCATTAACTGAACCAAGAAATTCTGTTGAAAGAATAAGGCGGCAGTTACTATGATTAGATATTTATGTTCTCTTTGTTGCATTGTTTATAATTTCTGTGTAATGGAAACTAGTCATAATAGTAGTAGCAATGTAGATTAATTTTACTATGGTCAACAGTTTTCTTTTTATTTAGTTCATGCGTTATTTAACCCTTTCATGCTGCCAATTCAAATTATTATGGTTTGGTTTTCCTTAATGCAGTGCTAGAAAGAATGGCATTAATAAATGAGTTATATATATTTCCAAATCAGGGAGACACATTTATTATTAGCACAAACAAGAATATTTCCCTTTGGAAACGGAAGGAGTCTATGTGTGTGGCAGGAGAGGAGGATTAAGAAACTTACTGAGTCAATTAAAACTACAGGTTGGTGATTGTATTATATTTAGAGTCCCAGCAATCCCTTGGGGGCTGTTGGCAAGAGTTTTGCACATGGGGAGAAATGTAATTTTCCATGCTCCATCTCTCTGTGAAATGAGAAGATGGATGCTGTGTAATTTCTGGTCATTAACCAGCTTTCCCTGCACAGGAGGACAGAGCAGGAAGTGAGTGGCTGAGGAGAGTCTGTTTCCCCTCCCCCACCTTCCTTTTGCATGGTTCCCTTTTTAAAAAAATTACATCAAGAACGGAGGTTGAGAAGTGTCCTTGGAGCTTTTGTTAAAAAAAGAAATATATGTTTGCTTCCTGCAGCTCTCAATTCCTTCCCCACTGTCTATTATCTAATCTATTTGCCGCCAAACACTGGAGAATTTAATGTTGGACCAGGCTGAGAAGAGTTTATATTAAGTGCACCTCAGATAAACCATATCACTCTGAGCAGATGAAGAAGAGACAGATGAGGCCAGTTCACATTCCCACTCTAATATCACAGCAGGATACCCCCCGCTCCCACCACAAGCTCTTGTGCACGCACTTTCTTTCTCCTTTCCTTTGGGAGGAAAACAAGCAAAGAAAAACCAGGCCAGCTCCTTAACTGAAGTAAACCATTGGTGTTTGTGGAACCAGGACTAGTTAGGCTGGCTCTGTGTCTAGTGCACAAATAACAGCTTTGCAGATTTCAGTCCAGAGATGGAGGCACATCTCTGTGGCTCAGACCAGGCATGCAGAGAAGGCTCAGCCATTTATATTCAGAAGTAGCTTGCTGCTCACACTTGAGAGCAGAAGTCCATGGCCCCAGCTGATCATGCATCATGGTAAGCCACCCTGAAAGCAAGCCATGGTTGATTGATATCCAGTCCCTCAGCTTTCCAGACTTGTTTTTGTAAGGGAAATACAGATCTACCAGGGGAGACTGGGAAGGTTTCAGGAAACACACTGACTTTCTTTGAGAGATAATGGCCACCAGAGTTTGTGTGTAATCTGACCATAATTACTCTCTAGGGCCAGCCCTACCATTAGGTAGAGTGAGGTGGCTAAATGGGGCAGCAAATAGCTAATTATTAACAAATGACATTTTGCATTTAATTGTAGAAATAAATGGCACTATGGTTAGTTGTGATGAATGTAAATCCTATTGATTTCAATGAATCTAGTCTAAGTATGACAATGGCCTATTTCATTTTAACTATCAGGAATGGGGAGAGATGGCTTGTGGGATGCCCTGCCCTGGGTAGCAAAATTACTCAGTTGGCCTTAGGTACTATGCACTGGGACGGTGTGAGTGGGAGAGATTCCACTTGCAGCTTTGCCAGCAGCAAAATGGTTCTTTGGGCTGGCTCTGCTCTTCTATTCCTCCCCTCCTGTCTATCACCATCCAATCCTTGGCAAATGCTGTGCAACATAAACAAATAGTGCAAACTAGTATATTTATCATTTGCATTCTTTGTTTAACTCACACAATATAAGTTTGTGGATCACTTAGAAACTACTATTTTTAGCACAGAATTCTAAGTACAATCCTGAGGGCATTTGAATACAACATTCTCATGGATGCTGAAATCCCCTCCATTAAATGCACTCCATCCTGAATTTCAGCTTGCTATATCCTTAAACAACAGGCTGTGTCAGAAATCAAGGGGAAGAAGAGTGGGGGAGAAACTTGCCTACAAGGAAAGATAACAAAAGGAATGGTCTTAATGAAAGGTTCAGGTCACACAGCATAAAGCTGACCACAGAGCCATATGGAACAGACATAGATGTACTTGAACTTGGGGAAGTACTGATCTGAACATCATTAGAGATCTGTCCAGAAGTTTGCCTGAAGATGTGAGAGCTAAAAGAGTGCAGAAGATGGGGGAGTGCCATGAAAGTCCTTCTCCCAAATTGTGGTGCAGGCAGACTCCTCTTCAGACCTTTGTGCAATCCATGTGAAGTTCTGGCCAGCTTCTAAGTGCGGGGGCAATGATGCAAGGTATGGAAAAGAGCTGGGGCTCAGGCCCACAGGACAAAACAAAGTGCACAAATTTGCATATGCTAATTTACACAGGCCATAAAGCCTCTCTCTGTGTTTAAAGAATGCTGTCTCCTTACAGTACTCCTATTTGTAAACAGGAATGACTAAACAGAGGAGAGGCGGGCATTAGATTCTAGGGTTGAAAAAGAACAGAAGGGGTTCTTGCCACAGGCTTCCCTCTGCAACATGAAATGCAATTATTCTGGCTTCCACTTTGGTTAAGGTTGCTCCTCTGTGCTTCTTAGGACTCCTGGGCAGCATGCATAATAGCCTGTGGTCTGAACAAGTAGTGTG